AGGGGAAAGAGAGAGGAGAGGGGAGGGGGAAAAAGAGGGGGAGAAGGTGGAAGGGAGAGGGGGAGAGAGGGAGGAAGAGGGAGGAGATGGAGAGAGAGAGAGACAGACAGACACTGGCGTGAAAGAGATATATTGGCTGGCTGTCTCCTACACATGCCCCGACCAGGGCTGGGGATCCAGCTTGCAACCTAGGTAATGTGCCTTTGGCCGGAATCAAACCCAGGACCCTTCAGTACACAGGCTGAAGGTCTGACCACAGCCAAACCGGCCAGGGCCATTTGCTTATTTATTTACAACAGTATTCATTCCAGAACAACAACAATACGATCTACAATTTGAAGGGATATTTAAACAAAATAAAACAAGAAGCAGAAAACTGTTAGTATGTGAAAGAAAATAATTGAGTAAATTTTTTTAGAGCACCAAAACCTGCTCTAAAATCATTCCCACACCCAATAAACTTTTCTTCCATCCACTCCAGCCCCCTACTCCCATGATCATATCAATAGCCAGTATCTACACTGCCTCAAAAATCTCAATTTCCAGCATCCCCTCTCTTCACTTCCTATCTTTGCAGTTCACTCCTAGAAATCTGCTGATTCAAAGACTCTGTTCTTACAACTGTCCCAATCTCCTGCACTAACTTGTCCCTCTTTACTCGATCATTGCCATTAGTGTGGAAGTATGAGACACTAGCAGACTGAATTCCCCAACTACCACCCCAGTGTCCACTGCCCACCATGCCCTCTCCTTTACTTCTTACCTGCCTAAGACTCAGTCATCCCCTTGCCTGTCACCTCACTCCCTTGCTCCTCTCCTCACAGGCAAATCAGAGCTAAAACCAACTTCCTACTCAACACAGTACCTCCACCCGAACAGCCAAATGGGACTGAAAAGAAACACAACCACATGAACTCTGAGATTATACCCATAAATTTCAGCAGACCATTAGCAAGGCTCAGAAATCATACCACATTAACCTACTGAATTCGCTCCCATCTTTAAAATATAGAATTATTTCATAGAAGCTTCTCCTTTTACCTTAAACCTTCACCCCCTTCTCACTCCAAGCAGATGATCACGTTTTTTCATTTCAAGAAAAAACAAGCAGATGTGGGTGGCCAACCATCCTGGTTTGCCCAGGACTTTCCCAGAGTTAGCACGGAAAGTCCTGCTTCCTGGGAAACCTCAATCCCAAGCAAACCTGAACATCAGTCACCCTATGTTCCAAAGAGAACTACGTCCTGTTCCCATCACTTAGTCTGCTTTCCTTCCTGTTTCAACAAATTGCCCTTGCCCCTATCAAAAGCCAAACAAATGACTTCTGCACTGGATCCCACTGTTTGTCTTACTCAAGGACTCTGCTCTTACAACTGTCCCAGTCTCCTGCACTAACTTGTCCCCTCTTCGCTAGACCATTACCATCATCTTGCAAACAGTGATACGAGCAGATTGATTTCTTCCCAATTACCACCCCATTTCTGTGGCCCCCCTTTTCTCTGGCTCTCTTTTTAAACTTTTAATCATAAAATATTTAAACATTACTATAATCTAGATAATAATAATAAAAACCCATGGACCCACTACCCAAATAAATTAAATCTTAACACTCTATCTTATTTACCTAAGAAATAAAACATTAAAGACACAGTTGAATCTCGTGCTGATCCCATTTATACACTTCCCTCCTTAGAGGGAATGCACACTGGTTTTAGTGTTCATCACTGCATTATATTTTTACTAACATATGTATCCATAAATATGTATTATTTTGTTCTGCATGTTTTAAATGTTATATAAATAAACTGTTCATGTCCCTCTGCAACTTGTTCCAGTCACTCACCATCCTTGTTAAACACTATTCATGTGGACACAGGCAGCTCTAACGCACCCATCTTCAGTGCTATAGAGCACTGTAACGTATGAAGATACCCCGATTTATTCATCCTCCTGTTCATAGACACTTTGGTTGTTTTCACTGTTTCACTGTTAATAGACAATGCTTCAAGTCTCTTATGAATACGTGTTAAGAGTTTCTGTGGGATTTATCTAGAAGTGCTGAACCATAGGGCACACACATCTTCAACTCTACTACAACATGGCTAAATTGCACACTAAATCAGCTGGATCTATTTACCTATCAGTGTAAGGGCAAATAAAAATAACAAGCTTAATTCTCCCTGTTAAAAATAAGGGAAGAAAAACCCAACACACTTTCCTTAGAGCACTTTCTTTAGAAAAGTTGTAACTGTACATTCTTTCTCTATACCTCTGAAGTGTATATAAATCTTTTTAAAAGCTAAATCTTCTAACCAGCAACTGTCTTTCTCAAGGACCTGGTAGCCATCTCTTTGAAATGTGATCACCAAGGAAGACAGCGTCAGTTTCTGTGGGTGGATGGGAGCCTAATTTGAGCATACCACCTAGCCACAGAGATAACTTCAAAATTACCTCCTGTCATAAAAAATTTTTATTTTTCCTTTGGATAACCCAATTAGCTAAAGGCAATATATATGGTCACCCCGATTACCAAATGAATTTAGGATAAACTATGTGTGACAATTGATGGCATCAAGTCTTCTTGCTTGAGAACTATTTAGTTTATCTTGAAAGCATGTATGTAATTGGTTGTATCTACTTAACTACATAAAAAGGTGAGTTCTTTGTAGGTCTTTGCAATCTCTTAGCAGACTGCCTGTGATGTGGATCACATTCTAGATTAATGCTTATTCAAAAATAAAATTGTTTTCTTTCTCTTCTACCTTTGAAGAGAGGTTTTCTGAGGTGGCAGGAGGTTTTGGTTTAAGTTATATTTCTCCAACATCAGCAATGGTTAAAAATTTCCATTTCCCTATATCCTTATCAATATTACATACTCTCAGAATTTTTAATTTTTGCCAATTTGATGGATAGGAAATGGTATCCCTTTGTTTCCTCTAATTTGTATTTCCCAAATACCAATGAGATTAATTGAGTACTGATTTGGAAATCCTCCTGTATATGTTCATAAACAAGTCAAGTTTATGATAGTCCATCTGTAAATATCAAGAAGTCTGAGAACAAAAAAAGTCTGATTCAGCAATCAAACAATGTAGTTTATTTCTAAAACTTAAATTTAAGAACAATTACAAAAAATATTATATGAAATAATCTCAACTCAAGGAAAAATAGTAAATTAAATTTTTAGCTGTCTAATAAATTTCACATTAAATAAGTACTGCTCTAAATATTTCCACATTACCGGAAGTTTGCAAAGCAGAAACTGAAAAACCTTTTAAGAGCAAAGAAAATATCTCCCAATTCAGACACCTAACTGCCACCAACTTCACTGACTTTAAGCATTAAACCAAGCTTTCTTATCAGTCCTTCTGGAAAAGAACCAATTTCTACAGAGGGATCCTAGTGTTAAAGCCAAACTCCAATCTATTTATTACATATAGTTGCTTAATTGTTGATCTATAAACTTTCAAGTAAAAAAATGAATCTGAGTTCTTCCATAGCGGCTGGCATTTGGCAATATGGTG